GTCCCTGAGCTACTTCTGGCAAGGCTTCAATTTCTTTGCCCTGGGTAGACCTTTGCAATTCTTTCAGTATATGTATGTATGTATATGGGTGTGGGTGTATATGTATGTATGTGTGTGTATCTGTGTGTGTGTGTGTGTATAGAGAGAGAAAGACAGAGACACAGAGGGAGTGTTTGGGCCTGTTTCTATGTAGCAAATAACAAATTGTAACAGACTGCCTGTTTTTACTGTCAGTAAACAAACTGCTTGTGGCAATATTTCCATCCCTTAGGAAAAAAAGGCTAGGCCATTAAAATATGTTAAAATATTATTAATTAGTGGAAGATAGTGTTTACATTCATATATTCAGTAGATATATCCCTACAGGAGCACACTGCTTCATGAATTGTTCCTTCTTTTCCCCAATGACAGCCAAGAATATTTTGTAGACATCCTGTAAAATAACAAATTGCTGGCATTGTCTTATAGTATGATGGTTTGTTTCTTGTAAACCATCTAAATACATGGCATTGATCTCCTTCGCAAACTCTACTTACCTTTAATTTTTAGCCTTGATTCGGGTAGAGATTTTCTTAAGGTATGAACTGTCTGAACTTATCTAACAGAAATAGATATTAGTTTGGGTATTTTATTTAGAGGATTTTTATTTGATCCATTCTTTCTTTTCATTCATCCATTTTTTTCTTTTCTTTCTTTTTGATAAATCCAGCTGAAGAACACAGTAGGAAAATATGGCATGCTCACCATGATAATATACACAAAACCCCCCCACACATATTAATCCATACTTTGTATATGTATGGTATATTTGTTGATTGGTCCAAACTAGGATTTCAAAACAATCTACAGAAACAAACATCTTTCTGAGACTTTCTTCATGGCTTTCAGGACAGAACCTCCTTTCAGGAAGCAAAGAGGGATAACTTCTACTGGTAAGAATTTTTCTTTAGAAAGAAAAATGGTTAATATTGTCCAAGTTATCTCTTCATTTTAGACTGAATGAAGTCTAAATATTATGAGCTATTTCTGTAGTTATCAGGTGACAGAATTTCATTGGGAAATCTACAAAGACCTACAAGTGTCTATGTCAACATTCATATTAGCTTTCCATTAAGTATAACAAGGTCCTTTTATCACAACAATGATATTGTCAA